CCGGTCAAGACGCAATGACCTATTAAAAAAATTTTTTAATGAATTTCAAGTTCGAGTTATAATATTTCGGTTTTAGTTCGGTTTATAATATTTTTCGATGAATTTATAACTATGATGCATCGAAAGATGGGGATGCGTGAAGGAGAGATGGTATTAAAATAGAAAGAAACGAACATAGAATTGACGTATGGATTCATACGTGAAGGTTTATTTAGGACAGTAACGATGATTGCATTACATTCTCGTAACTTATGCGTGAGACGATCGGGCAAGAGCCTCAAAACAGAATAAGAAAATACATCCGCTGCTTTCAGCGGATACCGATGTCGGTGCTCCGATCAACGGTCGGGCCTTTGTTCCGAAGCACGACTGCGATGCTTTCGGATAGTTTTAACCGCAGGACAAAGTTTGGAGCGCCCCAGGCGCAACTCGGATAATTCGACTCGTAGGTCCCAGTAATAGGCGGTACGAAAGGATAAAAGTTACGTTTCTAGGACTCAGGAACGCGCGCCGCTAGGTTGCCCCTCAATTTCTTGCCTGATTACGGGGCTTTCCAAGCAGTACATCGTTATTGGATTTCTGACACAATTTGCTCATTAATTTCTCTTTAAGCATAAATACAAAAATTAGTGATGAAAGAGATACACGATACTGTCCATAGGTTCGTGTGTGAACGTATATGTATATAATATATATATATAACGATATAATATATATATAACGACACTTTAACAAAGAATTTTCAACTTTAAGTATTTTTCAGAAGGCTGCACTGCGTGTAAAGTTTCTCTCTTATCTTTGTGATACATTAACATTGAAATAACAACAGATATTTCTTTCGTTGATCATTTTCTCTATCATTTGAATTTACCACGTTTCCAAACTCATGGACAGTGGCATATCTTTACAAAAAAATTATCGTAAATTCGTCATTGAATTTATTATACATATGTATAATAAATTAACTCTCAATTAAACAATTGGTGGCACGCATCAGTTCATCAAATTAACGCTAATTTATATATATCATAAAATTAACCATGTAATTAATTTATACGTATATGCTACAATAAATTAATTTCTAATCGATCAGTTGATCGCATAAGTACCGATCATAAAACAAAGCCATTGTTTCGGCGCAACGGGATGGTAACAGAGAGGTTTATACTTTATACTTTCTCCGACTGTCAAAGCTGCGACCTACCGCTTCTTACATTGGCTCTCTCGATTCGTGAATCATTAGTATGGTTTGAGACAGTATGGTATGTATAGTGACAGTGGTTGACATGGGTCGAATGTAACAATATTTACATGGTGATAGTTACATGTAAGCATTTAATAGTGCCAATTAAATATTCAATTTGCTAATAGTGTTACTCTCCTCTTTTCTTTTTCCTTATTCTCTGTTAACGTGGGAGCAATAGAAAATGAAAATGATCCCCGGTCACACATCATGCACGCAGTTCCTCTTGTTTCTCACACACGAATACATACAAGTCATACTGTGAGCATATTTTTCTTGCAAAAATTAAACAAAAACTTTTAGGAAGAATTTTTACCAACATATATTATAAACCTATTTAAATTATAAAAAATATTATAAATCTATTTAAAAAGTACTCGACGTACGATAGTCTAACGTACACAATGACAGTATTACTACCTAGTTATGTATCTATAGATACACAATTTGATATCGAGTTCATAGAAATCCATTCTCATTCCTCACACTTGTATTATCTTCCATGCTGATTTTCTCCATATGTACGAGACATGCTTATTCGAGACACATCGAGTTCATGCTTTTCAACATGATTTTGTGTAAACACAGTCAAATATTCTGACCCATGCTCGACGTACGGAGAACTGTTAGAATACGACACTATCTGGTTGTCATAATCGCTGTAGTAAGCTCGAGGAAATACATAATTTATAGGCTTGGGCCTATAAATTTACTAACCTTCTTTCGAAATCATTTATTTGAGAAAGTGGAGGAACTTAATGCTATATTGACGCATTCAGCCGAATCTACAATGAGCCGAGTTTTCTTCTCCTATTCCGCAAGTTTTATATGTGTTGACCATCATATAAATAATTCTATAATAGACTGAGACTCTCTAAGTCTAAGTATTGTATTTAATTAATATATCTCTATAACGAAAAGCAGCATCAATATCAACAATCTTCAAAATGGATATTCGATGTACGCAAAAATGTACAAAACTAATTTTAAAACGAACTGATATCAGTTTCGTTAACTCTTTGACAATTTAGTGATAATAATATATACTATACTTATATACATTCCAGTGATATTCATATGACTTTGCATGAAAAGAACTGTATCAAGTTATAAGTATGAAAGTGAAATCTGTCTCTCTCCCTTTCTTTCGCTTTTACATAATAATAATTTCACAATGTATAGTACAAGAAACATTTTTAATTTTCAAAGATATAATTTTGTATGAAATAATCTAATAAGATTATTTTATTAAAAAAAGAATTCAATCTTCGCGAAGGATCAATATTGCATTTTTGATCTAAGCACTTAAAAAAATTTTTTACAATATATAAACAGAAACTCTACTGTTTACCATTATCTTTCTTATACTGACTGATAAATTATAAATTAATTTTTATTTTATAAAAAACTAATTCCATATATAACATCAAATATATACAGGATGTCTCATAACTACCGCATTTCTTCTTAAGAACGTATTCTTGAGGTAATTTTGAGACGAAAATTCTAATACAAAAATGTCGAAGCTACAATAGTTTTTGAATTATAATTGATTAAAGATAATTTGTAATTTAAAAACTATTATAGCCTCGATATTTTCGTATTAGGATTTCCGTCTGGAATGTTCAAAAGAATCTAGAAATAATAATAGAGGCTATAAAGGTAAAATGATTTTTTATTTATAAGCATTTAAAGTTATAGCTTATAATTAAAAAAATTATTGTAGTCTCGACATTTTCATATTAGGATTTTCGTCTCAAAAAATTACCTCAAGAATAGGTTCTTAAGAGGAAATGCGGTGAGATACCCTGTATATGTAGCTTAAATTATTAAAATTTCATACACATATTTCTAATCATTAAAATCTAATAGAATTAACAATTATATTTTATAGTTAATTTCAAATAACATTTTTTGTAATAAATTTAATTCATTATTAATTGCTAATCTAAAAATAATATTAACCCGGAAATAGATATCTAAAGCATTTTTATACCCCAGTGTGACAAGAAAATATGAATATTGTCGCAAAATATTGTTTTATATAGATATATATTTAACATATTTTCTTTTGTTTTTAACGATTCTTTATGAACCTTTAAATATTTCATCGAAAATCCGCAATAAAAAAGTGTTATATTAATTAAAGTCTTTATTTTTTTTAAATACTATCGTAATAAACTATTTAACATGTTTATTCTTTTTTACATTCATTTCATTTCTATTTGCTTTTTTGAAAATTAAATCCATAATTTGTAATGTTGTCAAATACTATCAAACTGGAAAATAATCAATAATATACAATATGTTATTAATGGTGATTTTAATTGGGGTGTAAAACATCTTAGATGATCGTTAACGTAAAAATAATTAATTTTATTAATTTTGTTAATTTTTCTCTCGAAAATTCTTCTTTGAATAATTATTTCAATTGTTAAAATGTTTATCAAAAAATTAAAGGTTCTGCTTTAACGAGACAGATAGTAGTAATATTCCGTATATATATTTAAAAAATTATATTGCAAAAAACGGTCAACTTTAGAGCAATAAAAATAATAATTAATGCTAAATATTAATAATGATTCCGACACAAAATTAGGTAAAAATATACAATTTTACTATATTCAACACTTGCTCATATAATTTTGTTTAATAAGAAAATTAAGTTTAACTTAATATGATTTTTATTGAATACGATTGATTTTTTTATCATGATGAAATACAGATTGAAAGAAATTGGTTACCAATGCATCCGTGATATTAAATTATGTAATATTGATGCAGTCCACAAGCTCAAAAAATGTTTTCAAAATATCCCTCTAATCATCACCAGCCCGTAAATTCGGTCGATCACGTATTGCTCATTATTAAAACATTCATCGCCGAAATCGCTCAATCGAACGCGCATTTTTAAGAATTGCAATCGTTAATCGCTCTCATATATTCTATTAAACGTGTTGCGATTATGTATTCTCATTGGAAATCGATCCGAAATTTCGTATTATTACGTAATTTTCTTGTTAGTTTAACGCTCGTTCATTGAAACAGGATTTTTGATAATAAATACTTAACTATACGCTTCCTAAGTTTTCATGATGCGATCGGCGATTAATAATATCTCCAGAACCTAATTATCGATTATGAATGTTCGCTATCGCGAATAATCAGACTTGTTTTTGTTTCTAATGAACTAAGAAAGAACGGGAACATCACAGTCGTGTAGAGGATGTATAGTAAAAGTCCGTCCGTATTTATGAAGGCGAATTTTTCCTATGGTATGTACGACTTTCGAGTGATATACGGACAGACAATTACAATGACTTAAAAGATTCATTCCACGCGAGAGGAGAAAAATCATTGAATGAGTAAAATTAGGTTTAAATGATCGTATAATAAATGAAAACTTCCTCTAAAGCCAGATTTAAATATAATAGGGCGTGAACCTACACGAGCGTGAACAAACGCGATTGAGATGCACTTGCTTTGATAAATGTAAACAATATCGCGAGTTGATCGTTGGCGCACATTCATTCGCGCACGTTCATTCGGTTTAAATCTGGCTTAAGAGAGCATGCGCTTAATTTCTAATTTCCTCAGTATTGAAAGAAACATTGAGAATCAAAGTGCTTCGCAGCTGCGAGCTGCATTCAACTTTCAAACTATGATTAAAATTAAATTGTAACGATAAACAGAGATTATATGCACTTAAAACGCATTTGCTTAATCGAAATAGTGTCAATGAATCTAATGTCTTTGCGCAGCGAGCCATCCCACAAAAATTTATTTATACTTCTCCGAAAGTAAAAATTCTTCTTGGAAGAATTAGTTGTCGACTGTAACTTACCCACGTAGGCTACTACTAGCAATTTAGCCACGCAGCCAATTAATCCCACTTCTCCTGTTTACGGTAACGGGCGACGAGTTCCTGATGAATGACATCGTCCGCACGGTCGTTTTTCTTGCACGCTGTTTAGACGTAAAAGTATTTCACCGCTGATGCTTTCTCCTCGAAATAGTCGACGTGACGCGAACGAATGAGATAGAATGAGAAAGGATGCGTAGACAAATTTAAGACTTCATGTCCCGGTCGGATAATAGACTTGAGTAACACACTCCCTCTCGACAAATTTGTCAACGAGGTCGTCACTTTCTTCGGTGAGTTGAGCTATTGGCGACTCTGGATGGCTCTCGATCTTAAAGTTGCGGTTCGTTGTAAATTGAGCCAGGACTCGTCCGCGTGGTCGCTGTGACTGCCTTTTCTTAATGCGAGCTTCCGCCGCCAACGAAGAGACAACTCGTGAACAACAGCAGTAACAGCAACAGCGGGGGCGGAAGCGTGATACCTTTAATGAAAAAAAAAAAAAGAACGATTTCAGTTACTTTGACTTGTGAACCAGATAATATAGCTCTCCATCACAATCAACTTTTCTTTTTTCTTTCTTTTTTCACAATTGACCCCGTGGAGAGAACCATGCGGTGGCGTTATCGATCCACGTCTGGCCTGCATATGGAACCACGCGCGTGATAACTCATGTTAACGATGGCATAAATAGTAATATACATATCGCACGTTTTGTTCGTGTTTACTCCTCGGGCATTTTTTTTATTGCCGCACGTGGAGCGCGAAATGGAAAAAAATGCAGAGGGAGCCGCTGTGACGTAATAAAAATGCCGTAATATTTTTGCAATTGCAACAATTGTACGGTCAGAGCCAAAAAGGTTGCAACACTTTTTTTCGATGGGTTTCGGAATACAGCCTACTCATCGACCGATTAGTTGTTATTTGTCGATTCATGAATAAGATCCAATCGCTCGGTGAGCAAGCTGCATTCCGAAACCCATCGAAAAAAAAGTGTTGCAATCTTTTTGTATAATAAATAATCACATATATTTGAAAACGAATGATGTATAACTAAAAAAAAATAAGCTATATTCACAGCAATGACAAACTATTAAATTAATAGTTAGTAAAAAATAAATATGATTTAATTTCTGTTCGAAATAAGAAGATAATTTTGGTTATATCTTATAAATCTATTCTATTCGAATGCAAATGTTTTATTAAAAAATATTTCTATTCAAATATAATTTGCATGTGAATTTTGATTGTATATTTTCTCGCTTCCCTGACGTTACAATCTGTGATAGCAATGATAAGTGAACAGGAACTTTAATTTTCCCTTCAAAAATCAAGATGCTTATATTACTTATTGACTCTGCTCATTTCGTATTTCCTTTTTCTTTTCTTCAGAAAACGCGTCGTACAATCCCGAGCTTTTTCATTGCCTACTCTGCCATTATCAAATTTGATGATAACGACCTATTTACCAAACTAATAGCGAATCTTGTTACGCTGGTTTGTTCATTATGCAATCTCACGTTGGTTCCTGTAGACAAATATTGCAAAGTTGACGATACAATCTAGAATATTGAAATTGTTGCTACATAATCTCGCGCCTTGCGGATGGGGAAAGTGGGACGCGACATTATCGTTGATTGCCTATAAATACGCGTCACATCCGGCCGACTCCTATTTGCAATTTGTTTCGCGACAATGGCGGGCAAATTTTAGTTGACCACGTATGCCGGAATCGTTGTGACAAAAGTAATTCATATTATCTGGCTTTATCAAATCAATCTCTCAAACATCGCGTAATAAATAAAATTTAATTTTGCATAATTGTAAAATAATTGCATAATTGTAGTCGCAGTGCAACAATGTTTAGACAAAAAGTAAGCCGAATAATATTACTACAGGATCAAAACGAAAAACTCTTTTCTTTTAATAATTTTAAATTAAGAAGCGCCATAACGGTCAGAACGTTAACATGTTGAACTATTG